CGGGACAAACCTAGCTAAAACCACGTACAACAGCAATTATAATGATTTCAACCGCACACACCCAGCTTCTATTGTACCATTACAGTTGAAACAAAAATTGCAGTAAACGGAACTGCTTCAAAGTGACCAAAAAGACTTTACTATGCTTCCTGCCGCTAAAAACAGGGCACAAACCATGTGTTAGATCATGTTGGTCACTCCCGACGCACGTGGCCATGGCAGTCTCCCCCTTGCCAGTGCCCTCCTCGGCTTTATGCGAACACCCTGAGTGCTTTCCAAGCTAAGCATCTGACTTCACCCCCTCTACCTTATTCTATTTTGCACAGCGAGGACAGACCAAGGCAATTAACCATTATAAAAACAAGAGCACGAGCTTCTTCAACTTCAAACTTTGGCGTCCTTGGGGTCCATTATCCATCATGAAATTATCATATTGCCCTCGGTTTAATTAGTAGGAGGCAAGATATATACCATGCGTAGAGGGAGGGACAAAATTAAAAATAAATTTTTAGTAAAAAAATTTTAGGATAAAATAAAATTTAAAGTAGAGTTATGTGATGAGAGAGAAACAAAAAATAAAGTGAAGAAAATGGAAATCCCTCCAATTTGAAGTGACACCAAAGCGTGGCGACTAGTGAGAGAAAATAAAAAAAAGAACTAAAAAGTCACTTCACTTCCTCTACGATCAAACAAGAACAACAAAAGTTATATCCTTTCTTATACCTCATTGAACTTTACTTACACTTTATCTTCCCTCATTATACCTCATACTAAACCAAGCTATAATGATAGATCATTCGACATGGCGTCAGAGTAATCAATATATTCAAACCCTACTATCACTAATTATGCCAAAAAAAAAGCTACATGTGGGAGTTCGAGCTAGTTTCAATCATTGAAAGAGCGATCAAGTTACAATGTCATCTTAGAATAAAAATTGTTACCCTCAACTCTTCCTGCAAACTTCACAGCTTTGACTAGTGGTAGAGTCTTTCACATGTTACCTTTGCTTATATTTTATACTGTGAGGACCGAGAACTTTAAACCTTATAAAAACTAGAGCACAAGCTGCTTCAGCTTCAAACTTTGGAGTCTTCGGGATCTTTCATCCCTTGTGAAATTATTAAAATGGCCTTGCTTCTTTTTCTCATTAAACCCGTGATTTTGATGCGCTTTGCAATTCTGACCATGTGAACAGAGGTGAGGGGTGGTTGGGGAGTTAATTATGAAGACCCAGGACATTGTACATTTTGCCCTTTCAATTTGGGTGGATGCTTTTATTAAATGGTTTGAGAAAATTGATTTTTTTTATACTTTGGGTTGATTGGTAAATCTATGGTTGGGTAAATGTTTGTTGTGAATTTGGTAAACAGTGAGTTAGCTAGCAGAATCTACTGAGTGGTCAACGGTTACAAGTTTCTCTTCTCTATTGAAAATGAATATTTAGCTGGACATCTGAAACATTGACTGACTTCCACTTCTATTTTGGTTATACTATGCAAAGTAGACTGATGACTTGGTCCTTTACAATGTTATTATTCGTTCTATCTGTGTTTGGTTCATTTTTTAGAGTTAATTGCAGAAAACCTTCCTGAACTCTCACGGATCTGCAAAAAACCCTCCTCGACCTTTTTTATCCCACTAACACTTTTTTAGGAGTTATCTCGCATAACCACCTATGTTTTTTTTATTTCACTGATTTTTACCTAAAATTTTATTTTTTAATTCACACATTAGCACTATCAACTCGAGCGTGTCACTGGGTAACCACATGATAAAAAAGAAGTCAAAATTTTCCTTCTTGGTCTAAAAAATACCCTTTATTAAAAAGAAAAAGTAGTTAATTTTTTTTGGGATTAAGGGATTATTTTCATCTTTTTTTGCACATGCTTCCTACATAAGATGTTAGAATCGATAGTGCTAATTTAAAGATTAAATGAGAAATTTTCATATGAAATTTAGCAGAATAAAAATGTTTAGGGGCTATGTTCAATAACCCCTAAAGTTAAGGGGTTATAGTGTTAAAAAAAGATAATGAGGTTTAGTGCAACTCTCCAAAAGTTTAGGGATTTTTCCTGCAATTAGCCCTTATTTTATTTGTGAAACCTTGGATGTTCTTCACAGCCAGTACGTACCAGAGAGAGTATTTTCTCAAACATAATCGTACAACCATATTACTTGGTTTTTTATTCATTTTTTATATTAAAAACACCATATCTTCTATTAACTCACTCATTTGCACCTTTTAATACTGTAGACAAATAATAAAACGATAGATGATTATGATCGAAAAAACTGAAAACAGAAAGTGCGTAAAAGATAATAACTCTAATTTCATTTTGACGTGGGATGTAGAATAATGGCTTAAGAAAAGCTGTTATTAATGGTAATTTTTTGTCATACTTATCAAATATAAACTCTCTTCCAGAAGAAGGTTTCCACGGAGATTTTAAGTACTGATTTGGTCAAACTTCATAATCAGCTATAAATACTTATATCTTTGCTTCTCCCTTACATTTGCTTTTTATGCACATCTCCTATTCTTCAGATGGTAGCTAGCCATAATAACGAAGAGCGTGATTAACTTTTCTTTATCGGGAAACATAAGTACAATTTTATATCCAAAGGCGAGTTGTTGAGCAATAAAATAACCCAAAGATAAATTAAGAGGAATAGAAGAGCACGATACAAAATGGGATGTTATTCCTAAAATAATTGCACACAGCTCCTAGTTTTGTTAATAGGATGTTATAAGGACAAATTTTCAAAACTAATATGTTTGTCAAAAAATTCCTAAAAAAGACTCATTTCAAACTTAATTTTAAAAACCGACCTAGTTGGCTGAAACTGGGTCGGTTTTTAAAAAAAAAAAGTTCCCAAACTTCACGGGAGTTGAAGTCCCGTGGAGTTTTGTTATATAAAAAAACTTCATGAGACTTCAACTCCCGTGAAGTTTGGAAACTTTTTTTTTTCAAAAACCGACCCAGCTTCAGCCAACCGAGTCGGTTTTTGAAATTAAGTTTGAAATGAGTCTATTTTTTAGGAATAAAATTCAAAATAGGTCGGTTTTGAAAATTTGTCCAATGTTATAATGTAAATTTAAAGGTGAATTTAGCGTCAAAACCTGAGCTGGCATTTTATGCTTCTTTTGAACATCTTGTTCTTCATATTTCTAACCAAATTAGAAAAGTTTCACGTTTGTTAATAAATAAACAACTCCAAGACTGTAACCAAGAAATGCAACCTTTACAAACACTCGTATCGGTATGATTCTACGTAGATTTAAACATAGTATTACATATTATGTTTCTACTGAAATCATGTCGCAAGAATCATGAACAAAACATAATAACTACTCGCATCAAGTGAACAAGTGAAAAAGTTTATAATCATGCACGAAATGATTGAACCCTAGATACCACGCTCAAATTAGCATGGGTGATGATAGGAACCACACATTCACATTTTAAAGTTTTCAGTGTCCTAAAACCTTACACATGCACCACATGCACCCATAATACGAAATTTTCTACAAAACCAACCCATGCTCCACCTCGAGGGCATTTCAGTAATCCACCACAAGAGTCCTCGCAGCATAAAATCAAAAGCCAAACTTCGTTGGGTAGAGAGAGAATTTGGTACGCTGCTCAGTTTCCTTTCTTTTTTTCCTTTTCCCTTGGCCCCAAAACTCCGAAGTTGGTGGGTCTTCTTCATTCTTCACCGTCAAGAGAGGAAATTTCAACCGAACCTCTGAACCGAACCTCTAATCAAAATAGCAGCTTTAGCTGTTCTGTGTGCTTAAGATTGGATTTTGCTGTAGAATTTGAGATGGGTAGTAGAAGTTGGAGAATTTTTCTGCTTTCTTTGAAGTAGTGAATAAAGAGAGGAACTGGAGAAGAAAGCAACAGTGATGAGTTTTAAGAGTAGAGGAGGAGGAGGAGGAGAGATTTCTTCGAAGAGCTTAACTTCCAAGAAATGGACCTTTTTGCTTTGTATTGGGAGCTTCTGTCTCGGTCTCTTATTCACAAATAGGTACAATTTTGCATCAATTTTAGTGATTTGCCCCGTTGCAATCCTAAGAATTAGTTATTTTCATATGGGTCTTGTTTATTTTGGTGTTTCGAGTCCTTATTTAAGCTGGGTATTGCTTGAATTTGAGAACCGTGGTGGTTCTGCTTACCTTTCCTTCTTTAGAATTAGTATTTGATTATGATTGTATTTGGTTTGTTTCCCTTTCGATCTAGGTAGTTATTTAATTTTAAGATTATGTTTAGGTTTATTTATTAATTTCTCATTCCTTTTCCAATTTGGTAGAAAGGTAAGATCCGAAGTAAATGTGGATCTTGATTGAAAACCTTTGTATTTGTCGGGACTTGGATTATAGATCTAGTAATGGTCTATTTAGCTGAAGATGAGCCTATTCCAAAATTGGCCAGTAATTAATTAGTGATTCGTCAGCCATGAAAATGATCGTCAGGGACAAACCTTGGTTCTTAGGACGGTAATTAATTGTTTAACCTTTAGCTAATACTAGTATTAAGCCCGCACGTTGCTGCGGGTATTTTTTTACCGAGGTATATCTATTGCCAAATTGATAATATACTTTATATATATAACTTTTTATAAAAACTTGAGCGGTAACTTTTTTACTATTACAGAGTGAATCTCCAAATCAGCTAACAAAATAATACACCGATTAGGAAGTTTTATTAATTTTCTATAATAGAGCTAGAAAAGATTTATATTTGTGAAATGTCTAATAAAGGTTAATTTCATCATCTTCAGATATGAACAGTATTTTCGAGGTTAAAAATGGTAGTTCAGCCTGAACGACAGATGAAGGTAAAAAATTACTGTAGCAAGAACATTATTTATGGGGAAATACTCAGCACATCGCTAGCAGTAAGTTTAAGGAACGAACAAAGTGGACTTCTGGAACATGCTATAAATATCTACAAGTGTTGTAGCCCAACATAAGTTCTCATTGATGGAAGTTCTATCTTCTCTCATTTAATAATTGTAATTGTGCCTTCTCCTGGAATAGAAACATCATTCACAGATGGTTGCAGATTCTTTTTTCTTTTAGGATGATTTGAAATATTTTCTTATTTTCATCTTTATTAATGATTCTCCTTTGGAATAAAAAGTAAAAGCACCATTAATTTGTTGGTAACCAGTCATGTATGTATTTCTTACATGATTCTGAAAATTGGTAGCAGAATGTGGACAATGCCTGAAGCAAAAGATACATGTATGTATTTCTTACATGATTCTGAAAATTGGTAGCAGAATGTGGACAATGCCTGAAGCAAAAGATATCATCAGGACAACTGGGACTGGAGAAAATAAGATGAAGCTTGTTTCTAGCGATTGCAATTCACGAATTGTGAGAATCTCGGATTTCTTAAGAGAAAATAAGATGAAGCTTGTTTCTAGCGATTGCAATTCACGAATTGTGAGAATCTCGGATTTCTTAATATTTTTTTTGGTTCAAAATTTTTAATTCTTCAATATGGATTTGCTTCCTCAGCTACATATTGGTATCAAAATAGCTCATAAGTTGAACATTTATTTTTGGTCTCTCCTATTGCCAGATGACTGAAATGCAAGAGCCTAAGAGCATCATAGGAAAAGCTCCCAAGACCCATACTACTATACAGTAAGTACAGTTTTATTATGTTTTAACCTGAAACTCTTCTGATCTTATTGGACTTTATGAAGCGTTAATTCTTAATGTACTGAACAATCAAATTTCTGGCATGCAGGACTTTAGATAAAACGATATCAAGCTTAGAAATGGAACTAGCAGCAGCAAAGGCTGCACAAGAGTCTATACTTAATGGGTCTCCGTTATCAGCAAACTCAAAGATCACCGAATCCCATAGAAAGCATAAATATTTAATGGTTGTAGGAGTCAATACTGCGTTTAGCAGTCGTAAGCGAAGAGATTCAGTTCGTGCTACTTGGATGCCTCAAGGTTTGTATTTGATACTTTTATTGACAATTTTCTAATTTTTTTAATTTAATATAATGCTAACCAGTTTTTATGTTAACAATAAAAAATAGGTGAAAAGAGAAAAAAGCTGGAGGAAGAGAAGGGTATCATCATTCGTTTTGTTATCGGCCATAGGTAGTTTTTCAATATATTTTTTACTTAGCAATAAACAAGTTTATATTCTTTTTTTTTTCTTCATCTCTCTTCTTTGACTAAAAGTTAGAGGGAAAAAGGGCTCGCCTAAATATTGATAATTATGGGATGAGTGCTGTCTGGAAAGTAGAAATCTGGCAACCATACAGAGAAATTCCAGTGGCTAGGATGAATCATATATTACAAGTTAACCTGTGGCTAAATATAGTTCGAACTCCATAACATCCTCTTTCTTTTGTCGATGCCTCTCCGGTGCCATCTGGCAACACAGAAACAAAAGTTTGGAGTTGAAACCTATAAGCTTGTCCCCTGTTTGATAACCAGCAGCTGTAACCCTAGATTAAGGATTTGTGTTTAACTAGAGTCTTTTGGTAGAAACTTGCAGACTCAAGATCAGTGAGTTGATGTGCATAAGATCAGCACATGGAATTGGTGCTTCACACACAAAGAAAAGCATGTTTAACTTACTATATTTAAGTGCATCTTTGATGAACACCTAATGAGGGAAGAACTAGTGGAATAAATTTGATTGAAGAGGCCATTTTTTCTAGAGAAAAAGATAGTTTTTCCATGGGATTGTTTCTGTTCCATCAGTATCATAGAAATAACTTCCTTGTAATGAACTAGCTCCGAGCATATTGCTTTTGATAATACTAGGTTCATATAACAGAAACGATTGTACACTTATGGCAAGTTACAACTGATTGTGTCCTTGCCTTATTTGAATCAGGTGGTGGTGAATTAATCTACATAAGACAATTTTGGTTGGGGTTAACTTGAATAAACTTTTGTTGTATAATTCTCACAACACTTAGGCTATGACTCTAATCCTTTCTGAAGACCCAACTTAGATTTTGCATCGTTTTTGCCATTTGTTGGAATTTTTCTCTGTTAAAATTTCAAATATTGATACTTGAGATTTTCATACAGCGCTACTTCTGGCGGGATTCTTGATAAAGCAATCGAAGCGGAGGATAGAAAGCATGGGGACTTCATGAGGCTGGTAGGTTCTTACCTTCTTCTTATATATTAGGTCCCGTTAACCATTTTATTTTTATTATTATTGGATGTCTTTGAATACAATATATATTCTATACTTGCATCCAAGACCCTCTTTTTTTCTTTTTTCTTTTTTCCTTTTTCCTGAAAGAACTATCACTTGGAGTCACGACCTTGTCTATGGTTTGTAGGATCATGTTGAAGGATACCTTGAATTGTCAGCCAAGACCAAAATATATTTTGCTACTGCTGTTTCTATGTGGGATGCGGAGTTTTACATCAAAGTTGACGATGATGTACATGTAAATATAGGTAAATATCTGTAATCCAATGTCCAATGTTTCCCTTCTTATAGTAGTCTATTTTGTTACAGTATCTCGTTTTCCCATCTTGCCTTTTTGTCAGTGTAAAAAAAATTAACCTATTCATGCTTTAACTTTTCAATGCTGATAGTTTCCCAATCTCATCATTGCAGTAATTTATTCAGATCTCTATTACAATGGCATGAACACGAAATTTATTTCTCATCATTAAATTCTAAAAAGATTAGTCAGCATATTTTTTATGCGTGCTATGTATTAGTATGTACAGGAGAAATGACTTATCAATTTTCTTTTTCTAATCGACGAATGCATTTTTGGTAATGAATTACTTTAATGAATCTCAAAGTTTACAGAATTTTGGTTTACCACATGTTTATCTTAATCTTCTCGTTTTTTATCTATTTCAGCAACCCTTGGAATTACTTTAGCCAGGCACCGTTCAAAGCCTCGTGTGTATATTGGATGCATGAAATCTGGTCCTGTTCTTGCTCAAAAGTGAGGAATCGCAGAATCAAACTGTTATATAATGTTCTTTCTTCTAGAAATTTTTAAATCATTCTATTTTCATTTGACAGGGGAGTAAGATATCATGAACCTGAGTATTGGAAATTTGGGGAAGCTGGAAACAAATATTTTCGTCATGCCACCGGCCAGCTATATGCCATTTCCAAAGATCTGGCAACTTATATATCCATAAATCAGTAAGTCAACTTTTTAATGCACGTAGAAAAGTTCTTAATTGCTGTACAAGTTTGGGATCTAATTCAGAAGAATTTCTTTGATTCTAGGCATGTGCTACACAAATATGCAAATGAGGATGTTTCACTTGGAGCCTGGTTTATTGGATTAGATGTGGAGCATATTGATGACCGGAGATTATGTTGTGGTACCCCTCCTGGTAAGCTTTTAGATCACATGACTCAAAAATGTGTTACTCCCTTTTTTCCCCTAAAAATTTGGAAATCACTAGCATATAGAATTTGCAGAGTCAAAGGAATTATTGTATTTATTTGTTCTCAAGGCAAATAAAGATGCCTAACGCACCTTGTAGATTCTTTTAAATGTTCCTTCGGGCTCGACAGAAATCTTAGATTATGATTTCCAATCCCCTTGATGCATGACGGATTTAAATATTCTATCGGACTTTAGTCACATGTCAGTACATAGCAAGAGTTGTAGTGTAATCCAAGTCTTGGGGGAAAATTTTTTCCCCCTCCGATTACCTTTCGACTGATATGGCTCTTTTGAAGTGAGTAATAGACGACGACTCAAACAAGATCGAGTCTTTTTTCAGTTTAGCACAAGTTCATTATCACATATTTGTAGATTGAATTTTTTGTTATGATACTTGTTGCTCTCATGTCCCCACACACTGACAAATTTGCTGTTATCCTATTAATTCCAAATAGGTGATGCTACAGTGATTTACCCCATTTAGATGGGGGCGAGACGAGCTTTTAAAAAGTAATAATAAGTTTGTTTGTTGAAAAGGACAAAACTACTGCGTGTTTTCTCTTCCATTATCTTTGCTCTGTTACGCGTTGATGAACGCTTCCTCTCAACCTATAATTTCATGTTATTAACTGTAAGATAGAGACCTAACAAACAAAGTGATTATTTCCACAGACTGTGAATGGAAAGCTCAAGCAGGCAACCTCTGTGTTGCCTCTTTCGACTGGACCTGCAGTGGCATTTGCAAATCCGCGGAAAGGATTTCATATGTTCATCGTCGCTGCGGTGAGGGGGAGAACGCTCTGTGGAGTGCAACCTTTTGATTGACTAACCCGGTCGTATGAAGTGTACGTAATTTGAATTGGAAGAAGAGGATTTATATTATATATAGTTGGTACTATTACTACTTTATAAAAGAGGGAGTGAGGGAGCTTTCCTGTTTTGTTGGAGAAGATCCTGAAGCAGAAAGAGGGGAAATGAGGGAGAGAGAGAGAGAGAGAGAGGGAGAGGCTATTGGGGCCCCTCCTGTATTCTTTGAGACTACGTGGGTGGCCATTTTGTATCTTAGTAGCACTTGTGTATGGCTGCCATTAAAGTAATAAGTGCTATTTTTTGGGTTAATATTTGAACCTGATCTAACCCTATAGTTCACTTTTTTAAACCAGGTATAAATAAAGAATCTTAGTATTCAGACATATTGAAACAAAAAATGTAATGCATATTAGCAAATGTTAAACTGTTTTGTGGTTAGTGAACTTATTTGAACCTATTCAAGTATAACAGCAATTTATGATCAAATCACAACTAAAACTGAATATATGAGGTTGTGGGCTTTAAAGCGTGGTATAAGTATATTCATATAAGTGGGGCGTCGGAGGGGTACCTCACGTCGGCCTTTTCGTTGCACATGGGCTCATTATATGTAGGCTTTTTGTTGCTAATGATGCGGTCATAAAAAGATAATATAGAGGGTTTGTCGTCTTTAAAGATGAATATATTTTTGAGGATTATGTTTTCTGTCGACTTTATGCTATGTGGACTTTGCGGGATGTATAATGGGTTGAAAAGATAATATACAAGGGGTATATTGTGGGCTTGACTTGTTGCATTTGTCAATGGCCCATGTGGGCCTAAAGATTGATATATGTAGAAATGGTATTCATAAAGATGGCTTAGTGCCGCTTCTTGTGGGCCTGAAGGGTGGTGTTTGGATCTTGCACAACCAAGTCAACAAACAATTTAAATTTATCGGGTTTTCTAGAGTGTCCATGGGCACTCTATAAAAGAGGAGAGAGATAGAGAGAAATGAATGAGGAGGGGGATCCCCATGCAAATTAGGGGCCCCTCTTCATTCATTTCTCTCTCTCTCATCACTTATAGAGTGCTCATGGGCACTCTATAGAAAAACCGTAAATTTATAACCGAACTATAAATAAGACCATGAATGTTAGATAACAAATTCATGGATCTAAAACGGCAACATTATCATATTTATATGTTATGTTGATCATATGTACCAACTACATATATTTTCTTAGTTGCGCGATGATATTGTATATTTTATGCAAACCGCTGATAAATACCCCTATTTTTTGGACAGGAGCCAAAATTTTGGCGAGTTTGGTCATGTGACCACTCACATGAACCCTACATCTCAGATTTATGAGTTGGAAGGGGATCTTTTTTAAAATTAGGGCTCAAAAGAGTTAGGGTTCAATTTGTGGGTATTTTTCTCTCCTAAGATTAAAATGAGTTAGGGCAACTGAAAATGGAGATGAATTCTTAAATATTAAGCTCTCCTAGGGTCAGTTTTAGTTGCTCTAACCCAATTTAACCATAGAAGGAAGAAGAACACCCCCCAAATTGAACCCAAGCTCTTTTGAGCCCTAATTTGAAAAAAACCCTTTTAGCCATAAATATAAGCCCAACCAACCCTCCATGTTGGAAGCCACTTAGAAGGCGCTTCAGTGACCACGTAACTAAACTCGCCGGAATTTTGACTCCGGCCAAAAAATAGAGGTATTTGTCACCGTTTTGCACAAAATATATCATATCGTCACCGGAGTAGGAAAATATATACCAACTACCAGCTCTAGTTGGTATATAGGATCAACAAAAATACCAATCTAATAATTTTGCTACTCTAAAACAGCAAAATACTTAATGATATAGCTATCTATAAAGGAGCTACATATACTATGAGAGAACCATCTACAATAGTTAATGATATAACTGTATTGGCTTGAGGTTGAGGAGGTTGAATATGAGATGTTGGGAAATTTCTTTTAAGGGGATGGAGTTAAAGGAGTATTTTTCACTTAAAAGCGAAGGATGCATTCGTTTACGGAGAGCGGTGGACTTCCTACAACAATATATAGAGGGAAGAGTTGCTTCCCTATTATTTTATTAACAGATTGTTGGTATCAAGTATATACATAAATCCTACAAAATCCCAACACCTTGTGGTTTTTTCGTCCAGTCTGTAGTCACAATAAACTGTCAATAGATGATTAAGGATCAAAGGGAACAAGGTGTTAAGACATTGTTTGTGCTTGAATTCAAGTTAAGACATAGCCTCATCACCGTTTTCTGATTATCAACAACAGATTTTGCTTACCACTAAATAGAGGGGGCAAAAGAGGGGTGAAGAAAGATCATTGAGACAAAAAAATGCTGAAAAAAGTAAGAACGAGAATATGAACAAATCAGAAGGAAGGAGGGAGTTTGAGGACAATAATGGTCCTAATGAAGTTGATTAATTGTGCTAGTAGCATATGGGAAACTATTAGAATGAGTGGGAGAGGAGAGGTAAACCAAGTGCCTAGATGTTATTTGACATCTCTATTAAGATCTAACTAGAATTAGGCTAGGAGTTTTGAGTGTCCCCATTGAGAGGACTCTTTCGAGAGCGGGTCTTTTATTATTAGGGGCTGATGTCGAATGTAATTTTGTGAGGAACTTCTATCTGAATAAGATGCTTACTAAATGTCTATATCATATAAACCCAAAGAGGGGCAAAAACAGGACAAAACTTGTCATTATGATTATATGATTATCTGCTAATCCTATATTTAGACTCAACAGAAGGCCAAAGGATTTTAAAATAAACTTAGGGTGTGTTTGGAAACATTGGTTTGGGTCCAGATTTGAAATACAGGGTGGCCCAAATCCAAATCTCCAGTTTGGGTTTTCTTTTTAAAGTGGTATTTGAAATCCATGTATTTTATATGGTTGATTTTAAAGCCCAAAACTAAGGATTTCAAATCATAGCCTAACCTTTGGAATTTGTCAAATCCCCGATCCCGATCGCTCCTATCTCTCTCGGCTCGTCTCCGTTCTCTCCCTCAAAGTTGCGATCATCCCAGGTATCTCTCTCCCTCTTTCCCCCCTTATGTTGCTGCATGCCCTAACCCTAATCATTCCCTCATCTCTCTCTCTCTCTCTCTCTCTCTCTCTCTCTCTCTCTCACCCTAATCATTCCCTCATCTCTCTCTCTCTCTCTCTCTCTCTCTCTCTCTCTCTCTCTCTCACCCCTTGAAAGCACCCTAATAGCACTAGGAAGTAATCCTAGAGGGGGTGAATATGGTTTATGCTAATCTAATCTGATTTAATACCAAATAAAAAACTTATTAACAAATATATCCTAACAAATGAGATATGAACAATATACGTGCAAGGATATACACATAACACAAGGGTAAACAATCTAAACTAGATAGTGGGCAACATAAACAATCAGAAATATACAAAGACGATATAAGATATGAACATAAAAATAAGTGCGGCAATGCAATCACAAACAAATGATATGATCACGGAGTTCGGTCCCCATGACCTACGTCTCCGCTCCTCGCCTCAAGGAGATCTCCACTATCACAACCGAGTTTTCTACGCTCACCCGAATAACGTTTACACCTCACAACTCGGTTTTCTAGCTCACCGAAAACTTTACAATACTCATAATGTAAAAATACTAACTACCACCTCAAGTGTTGGTCTCTAGCCTGTGTCTCCCTCAAGTGTTAGGAATTACAACCTCTCCTCAAGTGTTGGTCTCTAGCCTGTGTCTCCCTCAAGTGTTAGGAATTACAACCTCTCTCTAGGCATTACAACCTACCCCACTCCTCTTGGGACGACCCCGTCTCTCACCACACATTCCTCTTAGTGTACTAGTATAATACAAAGTTAACCTCATAATAATAGCTCACAAATATAACAAATTTGTTCTCTACTATGGATGAGAACTCTATATAGGCTCACACTCTAAGTCACAAATCCACAACCCAAATTATACTATGAATGTAAATACAATAAGCTCAATGGTTGTGTGTGAACAAAGAGTAAATATAAAATTAACTAAACTCAACATAAACACTAGCTTAAATAAAAGTAAACCTAGATTGAGTTTAGGAAAACTTCTCTATAGATAACAAGAGTGAGAGAGAGAAGAGTGGAAGCTCAAACTCAAATGGTGATCTCCTCTTCTTCTTGTGAAATTCTCTTCACAAACTAAACTCTTAAACAAACTTTAAACCCTTGTAAAACTTTCTTAAAACATTCTCTAAGTGATGTTTGGTCTGAGGTATAAGGGGTATTTATAGAGACCCCAAGACACAAGAAAATCAAAACAAAAAGACTAAAAACCCAACATTGGAATAGACTGAAAAAACTAGTCGTTACAGTATCAGTCGACTGACGGCTTTCATCAGTCGACTAATGAGTTGACCGCTAGAGGCATTTTTCAGCTCATCAGTCGACTGACGAACATTTATCAGTCGACTAATGGATCATCAGTCAACTGGTCAGTAGACCAAAATGAAACAAAAACTTTTTTAACATTCCAGACGATTTTTTCAGTCGACACATCAGTTGATTGATGTCATCAGTCGACTTACCAATTGACTGATAATAGGTTATTAGCCTGTTTGAAACAGTAAATCTGATTTTTAAACTGTCTTTAAAAATAGCAAACAAATTTTAAAAATTATAAAACTTTGGAAAATGATTGCAGACATGATAATACACATGTTATAAAAACTGGTTTCCAAAAATCACCTCCCAAATGAGAAATCTCTTTATTTTTCAAAATAGTCCAAAACATAAAAATGAACAACACTTGTTTTGTTATTTTGACTAAACCATATTTTGAAACTTTATAAAATGATTATATAGACTTAATGAAATATGTATATAATGATTGTTAAGTCTATAAACAAATAACTTATTATTTTTACAAATTTATATTTATATAAACTTGAAAACCAAAAACATGTATATATATATATATAAAAAACAAAAAACGTGTATGTGTGTATATGATTGAGTTTAAGTACTTACACATATAATATAAAAACCCAAACTAAATTATACCCAAGCTTGTGATCTTCAACGAAGCTCTATCTTGGTACACTTACAGATGAAGCTTGAACTTGGATCTTCAACTTGAATTGCATGGCTTTACTCCACTATTTCGCCAACCTCCATTGGATGTGATCGTGAAAGCTTGATTTCATCCATCCTCTAATATATTGTTTGCCTAGAATAGATACAAAACACAAACACTAGACAAATAACATTAGATGTAAATTGTTTGTAAATCATCATCAAAACAAAAGGATCCAACATCCCTCCCTCATCATATTGCTCCATGCCCTAACCCTAACTGCTCTCCCTCCCTCCCCCCCTCTCCCCCTAGGATGTAGCTTTCAAGCGACATCTGCTGGTCTCATGGAATTGGGGAATTAGGGTTTTATCGCCAAGATTCTATACTCGCATTTACTTTTGGTAATTGACTCCTCTCTCTCTTTGTCTTGAGATTCATGTTGCTCAAAACCTTAATTCTGATAAATTTTGAATCTTATAAAAAAGCGATAATTTTTATATGGACAAAACATAATTGTGGGAATTGTACATTAGTAATGTCATTATTGCAATGCTCTGAACATTTCGTTAATTTGATGGCTTAATTTTTCTATGGATTTCAATTCGGTGTCTAGTTTCGTATGGTTTAGCATATAATATGAATTGAAAATTTTTACGTTGTCTTAGGGCATCTCCAACAGCTTCTCTAAAATTTTCTCTAAAATGGGGAAGCAAAAATTATATTCTTCAAATTATTTTTATACCAACTCCAACAACTTCCCTATTTTGAGGAATCCCTTTTTTTCTCCAAAAATTTAGAGAATGCTGCAGATTTGGGGGAGCTTCCCCATTTTTTCTCCTCCATCCCTATTTTAGGGAATGAGATGGGGAATCTGTTGGACCAAAAACCTAAGTATATTCTCCAAAAGTGGGAAATGGGAAAGCTGTTGGATGTATCCTAGTTGAAGTATGGCTTACTCCATTATTTGATGAGTCTACTTTCAAACTGATTTTTTGGTTGAGGCTGGTGCGCAAGAGCATGAAGTTATTATGTTATGAGCTTGCTCTATTTTAGTGATTCTTTGGCAAACACTATTTGAGTTTTATTGGCTCAAAAATTTGGAAATGCACTCGAACCTCTTATGTTGTTAAAATATTTCTGGAGATAAATTCAAGATTCTAGAGGAAATTCAAAATGCTAGCTTCTAAAAATGATAGCGTTAGATAATTTCTTGGCACAAATCCCCACAGACTTTTACTTTCTTGAGTACCACTTGCAGGAAAAAAACTAGCCCATACAATAAAACTTTTTGTACCTTGTCTTATATCCTGTGTACTGATGATCTTCAAAGTCCCTACCTGGAATGATATGGTTTTCTCTAATGATGAATTAGCATCCTGCATGCTACCATGTGAAGATAGAAAACAAATTGATGGCTACCTATATATTCCACTTAAAAAAGGGAAACTAAAGAAAATGTTTAGCTTGTACAATAGTTTTCTCTAACAAACTACGAGTGCAGTATCTCTAGTACAGTTGAGACAATATCTAGCCACCAAAAATTCCATGGCCATAAGAAATCAATTAGGGGCATAAAGAATGAGTAAACTTTGCCTAAAGAAATCAATTTGGTACGCGCATGCATACCCTTTGGAATTTGAATTCTATTAGAATTGGTGGAAATATGGCATTTTCATTTAGAGTGGATATGATTTACTTGTCTAAAGTCTGTACTTATGGCTCTGGTTTTGTAACGATGTCCTATTGCAAATATGAAAGAACTTTATTCAAAACTTCGTATTACTAAAGTAAACTTTTTAGAATTTGTTTAATACATCTCAAGTTAAAGTTTGTTGTTCATAGGTTTTTTTGCTAGTAATGTCTATTTTTCTTAACAATTTTTTGTTTACATTCAAATCTATGTGATCATCATGTAGGTGACAAGATTAGTCTTTTATTATTTCGAGCTTTCGTCTCAATGAAACTTGGCTCAAGTCCTATGACCGGTAATGTCTCATAGGTAAGTTTGGGTTAAAATATCAGTTATGAACTTACTATTTGATGCAATTTTTCTTATTGTCAGAAACTTGATTAACAATGCGTAGTTTTTATTTGTTGTTTTGAACTTAATATTGATGCTGCTTCATTGTTGTAGATATTTTACCCCTTAGTTAAACTTTCCCCCTATCCTTTTGCTCAAATTTTGAATGATATTGCCTCCAAAGTGAAATATTTTTCAAGATTACAGTTATATCTACATGAACCATTTGCATAAATTTATCATGGTTTAGTAATTTGTGAGTGCTTGATCTCTACTGGATATGGACATGTTATATAAAATGTATGCAATTTTATTGAATTAGTTTGTGAATGAAGTCGTTCTCACTTTAGCATCCTAAATAATATGAACTGCCTGAAAATCTCATTCCTTGAGTCATGTGCAAGTTGACCCTGATTGCTTGTTTTTAGAAATTTTTCTTTTGAAAAGTCTCGGTAATCATGTAGGTTTAATAAATTATGAACTAAAATAGTTTAAGAGCATGAAGTATCAGAGCATCTTTTTAGAGTTGTTGCTTTCTACCATTTGTGTCAATAGTTCCTTGTTAAATTATTCATACGTTGCAGGATGTGGTAGTGGTTTGAACTAACAACCATAATCCAGCTTGTTTAGATAACTTAGTTTTTTTGCCCCATATGGTAATTTGTTTTTAATATTTGTTTAGATTCAGATGACATTCCTAGGTTTTGTCAAAGTTGTAAGTGAAATTTTGTCTTTGGTTTGTAGGCTTTGGAAGAAGATTACAAGCGATTTTATTTGTTGTATAGAAGCATGAGACTGTGATTCAAGGGTCATCCTCCTTTTTTTCCTTCTTCAGAAATTTCTTGTATTAATTATTTTTCCTTTTTCGGGCATTCCTTTAATTTAATTCAATAGAATTTCAAGCTTGGTATATAAAAGACCAAATTGACTATGTAATTGCCAGTTGTACCTGCTCTGTTTAAGTAGAATGATGTTTGAGCATGACTTATGGGTTGAAATCAAGGTTTAGATAGCTACAGCTTTAATGCACAACATGTGGAATTGTTACTTATTTGCTCTGATAATCAACTTATTCTCACTTTGAATATGTGTGAAATATGAAACAAGCCTCAAGTGTTTTCCAGCCTGGATATTTGTGAAATATGCAATGGTGATCTGTTATTTAGATGTTTTTTGTAAGATACCTGATATGTTTGTAGAGTTTTCTTCATTTTCATTTTGCTGAATGTCTTGCAAGTTATAGTGGATAATGAATTTGAAAACTTAACAAATGTAGTTATCATCACCAAAATTAGCTAAATTTGTGTTTTTTTGTTACTATTTTATGCATCTCCATTGCATTTGATGTAAACAAGACGGGTTAGGAGAATAAATTTTCTTAAAACATCAATTTTAAATTCAAATTTATGTATAATAAAGTATCCAAGCACTAGATTTTGAAATCACATATTTCAAATCATTTTATTTTATAAAGATATCTAAACAAAAGATTTCTTAAATCATGGATTTCAAATCCTAAATTTAAAATCCTTTGATTTTAAATCAGCTTTCCAAATCCAAATCAAAGTTTCCAAACACAACCTTAGAAATATATATACTCTTTGTCATCTGATTGTACGATCATCTTCTTTCTTGTATGACAACACCATATTATATTAAAATAGAATACCATAAAGTTGGACTAATATGTTTCTTCTTCTAATTTTTCCTCTTATCTCCCCCTAATTCTCCACCGTTTTCTTCATGTGTGTGTGTGTGTGTACAGGGAGAGAAATGGGTATACTTGGTACCAAGCACAAATTTTGTGCTAGGTAGTGAGGTGATATAATCACATCCACTCATTCAAATAGGGGACCACATTCATATGAGTTGAGAAGTGCATGAGGATATGTAACCATTTGCATGAGTGAAGGGGGATGTGATACCTCACTACCAAATATAACTTTTTATGCTTGGTACCAATCATACCCATTTTCCTCATATATATATATATATATATATATATATATATATATATTATATATATATATATATATATATATATATATATATATATATATATATATATATATATATATATATATTGGTTATATGTGTGTGTGTGTGTGTGTGTGTGTGTGTGTGTGTGTGTGTTGTGTGTGATTGATAACAAGCATAAGTTTTGTGCTTTGTAGTGAGTGACATATTCCCCTCCACTCATTGAAATCGGCCCACCTTCATATGGATTGGGGAGTGGTTAGGAATTGAAATGAGTAGATGAGAATAGAACACCTCACTACAGCCACAAAATATATATATTGAGAAAAATGAGTATGCTTAGTACCAAGCACAAATTTTGTGCTTTGTAGTGAGGTGTGTGTATATTCCTATCCACTTATTCCAATTCTCAACCCCATCCCTCATGTGAATGTGGACCCCGATTTCAATGAGAGGAGCGGAGAATATGACACATGACTACCAAGCACAAAAACTTGTGTTTGTACCAACCATACTCATTTTTCTCATATATATATATATATATATATATATATATATATATATATATATATATATATATATATATACTTTTGTTAAGAAATTCTTTATCATCTTGCCCTCATTAGTCATTACTCAAAGAATACGAATACGAATACGTATAAACAGTTAATGTAAAATTCTTATTTTAAAATGTTTTAAAATCTACCATATGAATTTTATAAAAAATAAAAATAAATTTCTACCTTAAGACAACAACTAAATTGAAACAACCGCAGTGAAAGAAAGAAACAAAAGCTGAAAAAAAACTTTCCTACCACCTACTAAACAAAAAGATGCCACTTCACAAGGCCATGATTGCTGGCGCAAGAAAGTGAAGTGAAGCAGCACTAAGTGACACTCACCCACCCTCACTCAACCTGTTTTAATCAGCAAAAACATTTACTCAACTTTCCTTCAGCACCCCCCGCCCCCCCCCCCCCCCACCCTTTCCCCATTTTCTTTTTTATTTGTTAAGAAATCAAGAATCATTCACCGTCTTATTGAGATCATCATAGGAAAAAAGAAAATGGAGGAAGCAGGCTTTCACAAAAATTTCAGGATTCTAGATCTCTTCTTAAGGATTGCAGTACTTCCTTTCACTGCTGCCTCAATTTGGGTCATGGTCATAAACAATCAGGCTACTGAATCTTATGGGGAAGTGGAGTTCAGCAACTTAACTGGGTTTAAGTAAGAATCTGACCCATATTAGTATTTTCTTCTATTTCCCCTTAATTAATTATTATTATTATTTTCAGGTATTTGGTTTGGATTAATGCAATCTCTGCTGGGTATGCTCTGGTTTCTGTCCTCGTTTCATGCTTCAGATGGCTCTACTGTGACTGGGTTCTCTTTATCATGGATCAGGTCCTTAATTAACCAGTTTGCTTATTATTTTCCAAATAATCAGGAAAATAATTATTAAGGTTAGGTTTGAGGCTTATAATATTTATGGTATGACATGTACCCATGGATTGAGCGTCTCTCTTTACGGGCAACATCTTCCTTTAAAAACCCATTTTAAATTCATGATCACTAAGATTCGAAGTTTGGTTACTCTCATATCATATTAAAGTATTTGTTGACGATCAGAACTTCGAAGTTGTGATAAGAATTTAGGATTATAAGTTTATAGTTTTAACATTTTTAATCTATACAATTGTTCTTTCAGGTTACAGCTTATTTAGTAGTGACATCAGGATCAGCAGTGGTAGAAATACTGTATCTGGCACGTGAGGGTGATAGGGAGGTCTCATGGAGTGAAGTTTGCAGTTATTTTAACAAATTCTGCAGCAAAACGAAGGTCTCTTTGGTGTTTCATCTCTTTGTGTTTGTGTGTTTCCTTGCGTTGTCTTTGATCTCTGGATTCAGGCTCTTCAGCAAGTTTGAGGCTCCTTCTCTCTCATCATCAAGCAATGAAGTGGGAAATGAAGTTGGGAGGCAAGAGGGATAGATTAGATTGTATAGAGTAAAGAAAGAGGTTAATCAGTCCGTGTCTTTGTTCTTCTGTTGTGAGTTTTTTGTTAACTAGGTTGTATAAAACTGCCTGAGGTTGAGCGTTCTTAATTGTGTTGCTGTTAGAATTTTGCATTGAATGGTCATAATGTTTGACAATCGTCTTTGATTGGGATGTGATGCGACTGAAACTAATGGGTTAACTCTGTAATTAAGGATTTGTAATGTCAAGGATAGGTTATAGGAAATAAAGATAGCCTAATCTAATCCTTGTTTAATTTGGTGCTCACTTAAGGTGGAAACCAACATGTCACGCAACCCTTTTAAATTTAAGGGCTAATTGCATATAGACCTTCTATACTGTTGCCCAATTCTTGACAAGTTCTTTGTAGTTCTGTTCTGTAGATAGACCCAAGTGAACTTTTGACGTGGGACACATAATGTACAAATTCACGAAGGAGCGGGGCTATCACGAGAAGAAATCGGAGCGTATTATTGACTTGTCTGTAAACAAACGACCATAGCTTCTAACTAGGAAGACGGATGCTGACAAATTATATATGTAAATCACCTATCTCAATGAGATGGAGCAATTCAGGTTGCCAAATTTCCAAAATCTCATAAGTAGTACCCAGTTTTGGTTGAATTTTGAAAATAATTAGCTTTGAGTTCATTTTTAGTAATAAGCTAGGAAACAAAATTAATTTTGATTTAATTTGGATTGATTTGTGTCCTCTATTACAGAGAGTCTTTTAAATAGTTTTAAATTATTTCTTTCTTTTAGGAGTTTTAAATTATTTCTTTCTTTTAGGATTGCTTTTCTTATTAGGAGTAGATTTTCTTTTTCCATTTAAGAAGAATAATTATAAACCCTATGGAAGATAACTTTAATCAATAAAACTTTTCTTTTAATATTTTCTTCGTAGATTTGAAGTTCTTCGTGGATTCAGAGATCGTTCTTTGTGGATTCAAAGAACACTCCCTGATGGATTCCAAGGTTTATCACATCCGCACTGTGTTAACTTTTTGACTCTTATACCATAAGAGAAAGAACATTTACACAAATAGACCACTTGAGAATGGTCTATCTTTGACAATAGAACTACTGGGGTCCATTCTAGAGGAAAGAGAATCTATAAGAATAGAAAAGATAGCACATTTTTCATAAGAAATTACATAGAGTTCAGTTAGCAAAGAAATAAGAGAAAGATTAATTGCGTATAGACCTCTATAGTATGGCACAGTTGTGGGTAGTCCCCTTGTAATTATAATTTGTGGATAGACCCCTACACTATTTGTTGAGTGCTAGCTTCTTTCGACTCTTTAAAGCATAAAAAAAAAATGTGTATGGGTGTGTTTAAGGCGGGGGATAGTTGGTCTATATTCCAAGCCAATAGAATTGTAGGGGTCCATCGGCCTAAGCAAAACTTCTTTCACTTTTTTAAGTGGAAAAATATTCACTCCACTCAGGGGTTCTATCCGCACAACAAGAACTAAAGTGGTTTATCCGTAATTGGTGATAGTACATGGGTCTATCCGCACTTAACCCAAAAAAGATGAAAGGGGGGAAATAATAAAAGTTGTCGTATGTGCAAGAACTCCGTAAATACAGTGTTATTACGTTCAATTTGTCCTATATCAGTAAATCTGGGAAATTCCTGAATTTTTCTAAAATTAAAACTAATATAATTGTTGAATTTGTTATTTTGTGGTTACCGAACAAGGAGAGAACCCGATGAACACATTATACAATCATCTTCCACGGAACCCAATAAACACATTATACACTCATCTTCTACGGAAACGCCATAAAATATCTCTGCATCTAAATCGGACTTCAAACTCAGAAAGGCCCCTATGGTTTGCGTCATAAATCTATTAAGCCCTCAGACTATTATTTGGATCTATTAAGCCCCTATATTTTTTATTTTGAATCTATTTAGTCCCTATGGTGTTTCTCCATAACTAAAAAGTAGATTCAATAAGACAAAAATACCCTTTTTTAGTTATGGAGAAACATCATAGGGGCTAAATAGATTCAAAATAAAAAGCATAGGGGCTTAATAGATCCAAATAATAGTTTGGGGGCTTAATAGATTTACAGCGCAAACCACAAGGGCCTTTCTGAGTTTGAACTCTCTAAATCGTAAAATGCACCAAAATTTAACACATCCAACACCGCACCCAAGTAAGGCGCCACTTCCTGCGGGACCCACAAAAATTACAGGGTGCGGGAGCTGGTGAAAATAGCACCTCAGACCCAAGCGAGAGGGCACCTTGTGCGTTTTGGGTAACCATAAAGTGCCGCTCGCTGGTCCAGCCTCTTTCCAAAGAGAGGCAAAGGCAAGATTATATCGAAGGGCAATAAAAAGCAAACTCAGATTATTATTTTTCTTGGGTACCGATCTCTTTCTCTCTCACGCCAAACAACAGCCCATCTTCATTCGCTCCTCGCTGCAGGTACCCGTCTCTTTCCTCTTCACCCATCTACTTTATTCACTGTCTTCTTCTATTTGATTCATTTATATTGGGTTTAATGGTACCATTTTATTTTCTGGTTAATAAAAATAAAAAATAAACTATGCAAGCTTGTGGAGAGCAGTATAGATGATATGGGTTATTGATTTTTTTTTTTGATCTGTATTCTTTTCCATTCTATGAAGGAATGGGCATGCTAGAGGTTGTTGATTGTTTCTATTACTGTTCTATTTGGGGTTTCAGAATTTATAGAGGTTATCATCAAACTTAGAGATCATCATCAAAGTTGGACCTATATAGCTCGAGTTTATAGGGATCATCATCAAAGTTGAGTCTGTGTTTAAGAGTAGCAGGATTTTATGATTCCACAGGTTTAAGGTGTTGAGAAATCGTTGCCCGTACGAAGATTGAACTCAAAGAAAGGTCTTCAGTAAGAAATTTTTGCTAAAAATATGATGCTTATGCTATGACGGTTCAACTGAAATTAGTGGTATGATTATGTTCGACTGCTTTCTGTTCGAAAAACTTGTGTTTATTTGAGTGGGTAACTAGATTTTTTGCTAGAGGAAGATTTTTTATGTTTTTTTTATGCCTTTAAGAGTGCAAGAGGTTTGTTAACCTGTTGTCAAGTCAGGCTATATTCCTTAATTTGTCTGTCTACTTAATTTTTAACGTTCTGTGTCGATTTTATTTAAACGTTTTAAACCCTGATATAGTCAGTTACCAATAAGACCATTTAGACTTTGATATTTATTAGATTGTATGGTTTCATTTTCTCAACTTTTTACTGAAATTTAAAAAAAAGGAAATCAAGAAGATGCTGGTTGATTAGGATGTTATTTGTTTGAAAGGAATAAAGAATTATCCACAAAGTGTTGGATTTAAATCTAATTAAATCTATTTGTGGGCACTATAATTAATCTGTGTGTATTGCTATCCTTCAGGATAACCCACTAAAGTAATCAATTAATTTGGGTTAATGAGTATTTAAATAAATCATGGGGTTATATGTGCAGATACCAGGTTGTAATTGTGATTTGATGAGGGGCCAAATTGCAAATGTACAACATCTATAAATAAGGGGTTATGGTCCCTAATCTAGGGTTACACTCTCTAATTCTCTTCACCCCCATCTAGAGAGAAATTTGGCTAGAGAAACCCTAAGGTTAGAAGATCCAAAACTCATCTCAAGTTTTATCTATGGATTCAGGTATAAGCTTCCGCTCCTTTTAATTATTGTTAATCTCTTTGAATTAATCATGGTTTTATGATTTAGATCTCAAGTTTTATTTAGATCTAACAAGTGGTATCAGAGCCACCATGATTTGTTCTAAGAGATTAAGATTAAAATTAGGTTTTTTTGATCTTAATCGGTTTTTATTCAAATATGTTTAGATGAACAGTAACGGTTTTTTTGGATAAACAGTAAATAAAAAATCACCGGTGAACAGTAAAGTTTTTAATTTTTTGGATTTTTTCTTCGATTTTTTCTTGGATCTGGATCAAGAAAACTCTTTTTTCGATTCTGGATCTGGTTTTGAAATAAAATCGAGAATTTTTTTTTGTATCTCTTGTTTGTTTGGTCGTCGGTTCCCGTGCTCCTCGCCGGCAAACTGTCGTTGGTGGCCTCGCTCTCGACTCCGACGGCGACGGCGGCGTTAGGAAACCCTAGGGTTTCGACATTTGGGTGCGGGAGCAATGGCGGCGGCGGTTTCAGATTGAAACCCTTAGGGTTCGTGCGTAAAAACGTGGCGAACATTAAGGAGGTGGTTACCTCAATTTTTGGCGAAGCTGAAAGCTTCAAACGAACTTCGCGTTCATTCTAAGGTGAGCCTCGCGCTCAATTTAAACGAACTTCGAGTTCGTTAAGGTGAGCCTCGCGCTCAATTTAAACGAACTTCGTGTTCGTTCTAAGGTGAGTCTCGCGCTCATTTCTAAGGTGAGCTTCGCGCTCAATTTAAACGAACTTCGCGTTCGTTCTAAGGTGAGCCTCGCGCTCAATTTAAACGAACTTCGCGTTCGTTCTAAGGTGAGCCTCGCGCTCAGTTCTATGGTGAGCCTCGCGCTCAGTTCTAAGGTGAGCCTCACGCTCAATTTAAACGAACTTCACATTCGTTCTCAGGTGAGCCTCACACTCAATTTAAGTCGAACCTCGCGAGCCTCGCACTCGATTCAAACAAACCTCGCGTTCGTTCTCAAGTTGAACCCTGCATTCGTTTTCAGTCGAACTTCACGTTCATTTTTTCAAATGAACCTCGCGTTCGTTCTCAAGTTGAACATCACGTTCATTTTCAGACGAACCTCGCGTTCGTGCTTAGGTGAGTCTCGTACTCAATACAGACGAACCTCGCGTTCGAAGTCAAGCGAACTTCGTGTTCACTATGGTTAAGCCTCGGCTTCTCATATTAAATTATGGGTCCACTTTGGTATACTTAATTTATTCAATTAAGTTATGGGCCCTATTTAAGCTATGGAAATTTAAATTAAATTAATTTAATTTAAATTTAATTTGGCAGTTAATTAATTATTTAATTCAAATATTATGACACTAAGGTATTAAGGTTGTCTTTCACTCCAATTGTTTAATTGAAATAAGAAGTTGCCAAAGTAACCTCTCTTGTGTAGATTGTTCATGAGGAATGTGAGATGTTTGTGTGTATGCTTTTGTGTAAATATTTAATCGGCCCAAAGGAAGGTTAATATTTATTTAGACTGCATACACATCTGCGATGATAAACGTGTGGTAATTATAAGGTTTACATGTGAATAATAAATCGATCCAAAGATAGTTTCGTTATTTGACATGAGTTATTATCAATGTTTGATCATTGCAACAATGTATCATTTGTAATTAATATTACTGTCCAAAGACTTGATATTAATGTTGTGTCAGATATCTTGGATGGGATTTGTCATTATTTGAATTTTATTGATTACTAATTATGGTTATTGATGTGAGCTTTTTTTTTGTTTTATTTCAGCTAATGCATCTGCTGTAATAATTTCTGCTAACATCAACTCAATTCTCATGCTAAATGGGACAAACTTTAAGGTTTGGAAAGAGAACATATTAATTGTTCTTGGCTGTATGGATCTAGACCTTGCATTAAGAATTGAACAACCCCAACCTCTCAATGCGGATAACACTCCTGATGTAAAGAAGGAGTATAAGAAGTGGGAGCGTTCAAATCGCATGAGTCTTATGATCATTAAGCGCGGCGTTTCGGAAGCCTTCAGGGGCATAGAATCCGAAGGGATTACTAAGGCTAAAGATTTCCTTGCCGAAATTAAGAAGCGTTTTACGAAAAACGATAAGCTAGAAACAAGCACGCTCTTAGCTCGCTTGATTTCAATAAAGTATAAGGGCAAAGAAAATATCAGTGAGTACATTATGGAAATGTCTCATATTGCTTCAAAGCTTAAGGCACTTAAACTCGATCGTTGTGACGAGTTATTAGTGCATCTGGTTTTGTTGTCTCTTCCTACACAATTCAATCAGTTTAAAGTCAGTTATAACTGCAAAAAGGAGAAATAGACTCTAAATGAGCTCATTTCATACTGTGTGCAAGAAGAAGACAGGTTGAAGCAAGATAAGACAGAAATTGCTCATTTGACCTATGCCTCTAAAGATAAGGGTAAGAAAAGGAAGAATGATAATGAAGCTGCTAAGGGTCCAGTTCAGAAGAAACAACATAAGGATAATCAGGGTTATTTCTTCTGTAACAAGCCTGGACACGTAAAGAAGGATTGTACAAAATATCACGCCTGGCGTGCTAATAAGGGTACGTTCCTTACTTTGGTCTGTTCTGAGGTTAATTGAGCTTCAGTACCTAGAAACACTTGGTGGTTAGACTCTGATGCTACTACTCACATAAGTATTTCTATGTAGGGTTGCCTGAGCTACCGAAAGCCAAGTGATGTTAAAAGACACATCTTTGTGGACGACGGACAATCGGTAGATGTGAAAGTAATTGGGCACTTTAGGCTGTTGTTAGGAACTGGTTCTTATTTGGATTTGAAAGATACTTTTGTAGTACCGTCTTTTAGATAGAATTTAATTTCTGTTTCTGTATTGGACAAATCAGGTTATTCTTGTTCATTTGGAAACAGTCAATTCAGTTTATCTTTTAATTCAAATGTTATGGGAACCGGTTACTTGAGTACTTATGACAACCTATATTTGCTTGATACAATTGCTTCTTATAATGAATCCTTGCATGTGGAATCACGTGGTACTAAGCGTAAATTAAATAAGAAAAATTTGGCGACATTATGGCATAAGCGCTTGGGTCATATCTCAAAAGGTAGAGTTGAGCGTCTTGTGTCTGATGGTATTTTGGATTCCCTTGATTTTTCGGACTTCGACGTATGTGTTAAATGTATCAAGGAAAAACAGACTAAAGTTAAGAGATTAGGTGCCAACAGATCTTCGGATGTCTTAGAATTGATACATACGGATATTTGTGGGTCATTCCCTACGAAATCCTGGAATGGTCAATAATATTTTATATCATTCATAGACGATTACTCACGTTATGGGTACCTATATCTTATTCATGAAAAATCTGAGTCTCTGGACATGTTCAAAGCCTATAAAGCTGAAGTTGAGAATCAACTCAACAGAAGAATTAAAACCGTTAGATCTGATCGTGGTGGTGAGTACTACGGTAGATATGATGGTTCAGGTGAATAACGTCCATGATCATTTGCTAGATACCTAGAGGAATGCGGTATCGTCCCACAATACACCATGTCGGGTTCATCTAGCATGAATGGTGTAGCTAAAAGACGAAACAGGATTCTTAAGGATATGGTAAGAAGTATGATTGCTCATTCTTCTTTACCAGAGTCTCTCTGGGGAGAAGCACTAAAGACAGCAGCTTACATTCTGAATAGAGTACCAAGTAAAGCAGTTGCTAAAACACCTTATGAGCTTTGGACTGGTCGAAAGCCTAGTTTAAAGCATTTACATATTTGGGGATGTCCAGCTGAGGCAAGGCCTTATAGGCCAAATAAAAAGAAATTAGACTCCAAAACAGTTAGCAGCTATTTTATTGGGTACTCTGAACGCTCTAGGGGCTATAAGTTTTATGATCCCACACTAAGGAATATTTTTGAGACGAGAACAACAACATTCTTTGAGGATGTTGAGTTTGGGGGGGAAAATAAGGTTAGAGACATTAGTTTTGAGGACGAATTGGTTTCAGATCCAATCCATACAGTTATTTTTGACAATATTCAGGTTCCTATACCTGTTGTTGCTCAAGAAGTAAATCCAGAACCTCAAGATGACAATGTTGAACAACTCCCTATTCTCGAAGAACAAACTCAACAACCTCAAGAACCAGTGTCATTAAGGAGATCCACGAGAGAAAGAAGAAATGCTATTCCGGATGATACATTGTATTTCTCCAAGAACATGAGGAAAGTAATGGAATGTTGGAAGATGATCCAATCAACTTCCTTCAGGCCATGAAAAATTCTAACTCT